AGAGGTCCTGCTGATTTCTGTACATTCGGGAATGCACTGATATATGTTAATGTTAATGCTGATTTCTGAGATTGAATATTTAACTGTCATTAGGGATGAACCTGTAGAACTCTGTTATGCTAAATATTGTGTCTGCATTGCTGTGTTAATTCCCAACAGAACATAGATGGTCGGGAATTGAACTAAGCATGAGTTTGTGATGTTATATATAAGTCTTCACACACAAGTCAAGTTTCGCATTAAATAAGTAGAGATTAATTCTTCTATGTGATTTTGAAACTATTCTTTGTATTGACATAGAAATTCCAACCCTGACACCAACAACAAGTTATCCAACCAATTGTGTTTTGAGTTAGGTATAATTTATTTTAGGACAAATTAGTTGCTCAAGTTTGGGGGTATTTGATAAGTATATTTTGTAAACTTATTTGGATTTTTATGTTGGAGTATTTATTGGTTTATTTTGATGAACTAAAGTGCAAATACTCAAAAGTTGTATCGTGAAGATTCGAGAATATTAAGAATTAATTAGATAAAAAAGAAGTCAAATGAGTGAAATATAGCGAAAGTATGCTCACACATCAATTTTCAGCCGAAAAAGTTATACTTCAAATTCTTAGCCCAAATTGAGACTCATTTTTGGCATAAGAAACATTCGAATTGAAAAAAAATGATATCTCTAAAAGAATTGTAACTCTTTGAATTGGATTTTCAAACCACATTAAATCACCTCAATCGGATATCGAAAAAGCAAGATATGAAAAATAGTGAGAACTCGGGAAATAAATAGGCTCACGCCTGGCACCCAACGCAGGTGATTGAAGCCATTTTCTTCCTTAGAGGCGCACTTCCCATCTTCAACTAGGCGCTTACCTTCAAGAAATCCAGGGAGAAAATTTCTTTTTCTTGATTAAGCATGTTTTGAAAGACCTTGTTTTTTTTTTAATCATTGAAGAGAGGTTAGCAAGAGGCGAAGAAAGAGAATTAACACAAGAAGTTGAAGATTCAAGGCTCAAATCGAAGGAAAAGTACAAGAAATTGATTAGTCAAGCTCCTAAATCTATTATTTCAATTGAGTGGTGTCTTTTCCTAACTGTTTGTGTAATTTATATACAAATATGTTAGGATCAACTTGTTTCTTATATTGGATGAATGATGAAATCAATGGTCATGTGTTTTTGATTTATTGAATGGATAATTGTATGGATTCTTGTGTTGGTGATTAACTATGCATTGTTATTGCGTTATTTGATTGCTTAATTACCAATTAGATAACTTGTTGTTCATTATAGTGTTGTGAGACTCACAATAAGTTAGAATATTGCATAATAACACATGAGCAATAGGTTAAGAATATCATTTGTGACGTGTGCGATCTTGTATGATAATTGTGGTTGAATGCATCTCCTTGCATATGAATTTGGACTAGGAATAGGGTCGGGCTGAGTCGTGTCGTCATAGGATAGGTTTGGTTTATCTTGAAAAGAAGATTAAACAACATAGGATTATCGATTGTTGCGAGTACTTAAGCAATATTGAACTACATAATTCAAGAATTAGAAATAGATGCCAATAAGTGAATTCTGAAATCAAATACATTCACTTCATAACTTGATAAAAACAACTCGTTTACATAATTAGTAGGTTAAGTTAAAATATTTACAAAACATCACATCTTGTTTGTGTTACTACATCAAATTTGATAGAAATCAATAAATTACAGTTACCAATTATTCCTCGTGGTACAAAACTCAATTCATCACATTATTACTCGTCAACGACACTGTACGCTTGCAAATTTTGTTCGAACAACCACCACCTCATTACCAACAATAGTCATCCCACCAATAGAAGCAAATTACATACATCGATGTTACATTATTTGTAACTTTTTGTATTGTAGTTTATTAATCCATGCACTTCCACCCTACGCCACCATCATTGCTCCCGCCTTCCCATGCATTAACGGACCTACAGTGGGTCACGTGACCCACCAACTAATTTTTTTTTTTTTATAAAATCGAAAATGATGAAAATGGGGGTAATCAAAGAATCCTTCCACTTTCCAATTCAAAGAACCCCAAACTGTCCAAATTCCAATTCAAAGAATGCCATTACCAAACTGAAATTCAATGCAAGAAACCGTCGGGATGTTTTTCAAACTAGCCAGGTATATTGAATCCTTTTGAGTTTTTATAGAAAAGTCTATTTTACCCTTAATGAAATGAATTTCTTTATTGCAAAACATATCCTTCTTTTATGAATAATTTTTAGAGATTAGTCTCTTATATAAACAAATTTATTCTTTGATCCAATAAATTAGTATATTCTTTAATTTTTTTTTTTTATATTTTGCAAATTCTAATCATTTTTTGTTTATATTCTTTTAGAAAAATATAATCTTTTATTTATTATAGATATATAAAATCTTAAAGTTAGATTAAATTTTAATTTCTTATATTCGTGTGGTAATCTATTCGAAATAAGCCTTCTCATTTTTTATAACCATTTATCCTAGCATAATATAATAAAACAATAGTAGTTTAAACATCCCAAGAAATTTTAAAGGTTAGTATCTTTTCTTTCTTGAATGTTATTATATAATTTCTTTCTGAATTGTAGTATGTTAGAGTAATTTTCAACATATCTTTTTAACTTTTCTTCTATCCTATCAAGTTCTTCAGTCGATGTGTTTATATTTTCTATTTGAGATCCTAATTGAGAAGTAATTTTTATTTCATCTAACATTCTATTTAACAAATTATCTAATCTTTTAACTGTAAATCCTGACATATCAGATAATATAATGAAATAATAATTCAAACATCATGAATGAACATTCAAATATGAACATTGAAATGATTAATCCCTACGATTATTTAAGATTTTGGAAGAATTATTTCCAAATTTAACAAAAACAATAGTTTTACCTTGATTCTAATCTTTAAGTTTTTCTCCTTAGAATCGAGTAACCTTCAAGCTCTGAATATGCAAATTATTCCCTCAAACAGCCTTTTGCCTCAACAGGGTTCTTTACTATTTCAGCTTCTTGCCCTCACTGTATCGTCTCTTAGAATCAAAACTCTAGATCTAAATAAAGAAAACTCTTTTTTTGTTAAAGTAAGAAATAACTTTCTTCTTTAATCCTTCAAGTATCTATGGGAAAGGTAATTTAGAAACTCATATCTATCTAAGAGGATCGGAATGTGAATGATAATATCAAATTGTAGTATTGATATCGAAAGATTGATATAAGATCCAAACAGAAGATTTGGCTTTCTCACAAGTTGAGTGCTCAAATTTTTCTTTCCAATTCGTTATGTCTTTCTCTTAGCCTGAATATCTCTATTTATACATCCAATTGAGGCAAAATTATTGACATTTTACATCATTGCATACATCATATAGAACTAATAATTTGTGCTTTTAATATTAAGAGCCTGTCGGCCCCTCCATTATAGTCACATTTTCTTTAAGTATTTGTCTTCGTATGCAACTGGCTTTCTTTGGTCACATCTTCCTTATCTCTTTGGAATCTCCTTTTTTATTTTGTTGGCAGGTGGGGCAATCTCTTACCTCACGTGCACGTTGTAAGGTAGATATGCATCCTGACATTTGATGAGTATCAAATTTGTTGATATAGTCTCTGAGGACATCAGATCTTTGTTGTCCATCATTTGCAAGTAGGGTACATTCTTTATATTGGCATAGACATCTAAATCTTTTTTGTATAAAGATTTTTTGCTATATTATAAAGAACTATGTATCTAAGAACTCTTCGATTTTTAATCCATGCTTTGATAAACTTTGGCAATGGTTTGTTACTTTCCCCAATGTTCATGGAAAAATTCCATCCAACATATCAAATTGTAATAATATGTTCTGCTGGATAGAATATTCCTCCATTCACTTCTGGACTAAGGGTATAAAATTTTAGATATATGGATCTTCCTTGAGCATATTTGGAAACTTCGAATTTGAATATATCATCAAACTTCTCAAGTTCTTTAAAATATTTATCTGGATATATTAAATCCAAATATCCATAGTCAGCCATCATTTTTACCATCGTTGGTTCAGATCCTTTCATCATTATTATCCTTGGGTAAATATGATCACCTGGTGAAACGAAATGTGAATCAGTTGTTTGTAATTCATACATCATTTTAGTAACTATTTTGTATTCGTCTTCTTTTGGAGATAAAGAGACTTCATCCTTTTCATTCAGTTGTATCCTGATAGATTTAGAATGTCCTTCATTGATAACAATCTTTTTGGGACTTTGAATAGTAATATCCTTTTTTGGTCCACCGCTGCTTTCGCTTGGTGGATCACTTCTGGTTTGTACATGTTTGGTATCAACCTTTGAATAGTAATATCATTTTTTAGTCTTATTAAATTTCTCTCTTATTATTTTATATTTATTACCTAAATCTTCAACTTCCATTATTTTTATTTATTTTAATGATTTTTCTTTTAGTAATAGTATTTTCATGATTTTTATAGATCATATGGCTCTAATACCAAATGTGGGGGTTACTATGAGTGAACAAAAATCTAATAATCTAATAATCTTTTAAAATCTTAAAATAATTTTCTATTGATATTCTGAATTTATAATGTATTAAGTAAATCTTCAAAATCTAATAATATTTGAGAATTTATAATATCAAGATCTATTATTGTATCTATATTTGGATTAAAAGGTTTATCGTATTTTAAAATATTATTTTTTCTTTTTTCCAGTTTGTCAATAATATTATGTATATAATTTATTATTATAGATCCTACTATTCATTTAGAAAAGTTTTCCATCATATTTTCTTCAAAACATTTTAATATTTTTTGAGATGCATTCAATTGTTCTTGATATCTAATCTTATCAAATTCATTTTCAAATTCAATTTTTTTTTT